CCGAGCCCACCATCTTCCTCCTCCTGCGGTAACAAATCACCAGAACCAGCCCATTGCCCAGAACAGAGAGCACAACTAGACAGAAGACCGAGAAAAAAGTCTAAATAATCAAAATAAAAGCTGCAATAATGGACTTTTTTGGACAACAAGCAGAATTACTGCAACACTGGAAAATAAGCATGTTATCAGGTGTATCACAGATACAGTGATGTAAATATCATAACTACAGAACACACAAACACACATGCCTTAGAATTAATCACAAGTGTAATTAGTTTAGTGAATAACAACCTCAGTGGCTGGCAACCGTTATCAAGGAGTTTGGTTGCTATACTGAGTCAGATGTCACTGATTTTAATTACCCCACAATTCTTGACCCCAGCGTATGCTGCGAAATGAATGTTGTTGCTAATCATTAACATATCACAGACTATGAAAAAAGAAAAGAAAAAAGTCCAATAAAAATCGAATTAAGCGTACAGATAATAGTTACATTTTTGGTCATTTTTTTTCACATAAAAACAGTGGTGTTATGTAAACAAACATTTTGACAGACTTAAAATTCTGAAAATGTATGAATATTTGTTAGTTATGATCAGGACTGAATGTGGTTAAAATTCTAACTCAGTGAAAGTGGAAAACATTGTGAAAATATACTATTTTTTTACTGTAGTTTTAGGAAGGAGACATGTTGGTCCTCTAAGGTAACAAAAGTTGTTTTTTTTCATCTGACAAATGTAGATGTCGTTGCTAATCATTGATATAACGACTAAGAAATGACAATAACGTCCAAAACAAACAAGTGATGTTGTGGCATGTTTTCATTATGTTGTTTTCTTAGTTTACTTATTTTAAGCTCAACTATAATGTTGATGAATGTTTTTGCTTGAATTCACGTTAACCACACGTTTACTGCAACATGCACGCCTTAGGAAGTGCTGCCAGGGGTCTGACAAAACGCCAATGTGACATGTTCTGTATTAGAATAAGCAGCCTCAATTGAAGGGATGTGCTCATAGTTGAAAGTGTCTTTCTTTATTTTTGTGTAAATATTTATTCTAATGAAAGATGCTCAATTTACAGCTCAAGAACAATATCTAAGATACATAAATATTTCAATTTGTGGAGGAGAAAAAAGATTTCAAAGAAATGAAAAGGAAAAAATACAAATATATGTTATGTGCATTAATTGCACCAAGAGTGTAGAGATTAGAAAAAAAGCTTATAAACATGTTGATACAGCCACTTTAATATAAATAGTGATACATAACAGATTACTATGATAAACCTAGCCTATAATAAAATAAAATATTAATAAAATAAATTAATACACGCTTTTCTAAAAAGTGCTCTTTCCCATCAATTCCAAATAAAATCCGTGTTCTTCCTGTATTTCAGTAAACTAGTATAACTTCTATATTGTTTATTAAAAGAGTAATTGGGATTGTTTTGCTTTAAAAGTACATGTTATTATTATTATTATTATTATTGTTATTATTATAGTTATAGCAGGAAAAATAACATAACTAACATCTTTCTGTAAGGCTTTATTCGTCCACTAGCTCAATAAGGACACCATTTAATCTGCTTTCCAGTGAGACATAAATGAGAGCAAATGAATGCACGTACCGACGGAGAGGATGGTCAGCCCCACACATATGTCAGCAGCGGGGCTCAGTTTGGAGGTGAAGGCAGAGATGGTCCGGTTGTCAAAGGAGTTCAGAGTCATTGGATGAAGCAGCTCGCTATGTCGCTGTTTGCGGGTGAAATCCGGACACATAAAGCGAGAAGAGTGCACGGAGGACTGGCTTTTACGCAGGTGGATGTGTCACCATCACCATGCTAATTGACCTGCTCCATGAAAAGCATGGGGTCCTCCTAGCGCGTGTGATCTGATCCAGAATAACTCGACTGTCGTGGGGAAATTACAGCTCTTACAGGAACTCACACAAGTAAGTGACAGGATATCTGATGAGGGAGGACGCATCACTGATGAAGTAGAAAAGGTGCACTCAAAAGGGTGCAGATCTCCGCCAGGTGTGTGGTTCACTGAACACACCATTAGCTCTCCCCCTGCACGAATGGGCTATAAGTGTGTGAGCCTCAAACCCCGCGCACATTAAAAACAGGCGCGTGCACGTGAAAAACATCGTCGTGGGAGCATTTTAATCATGCAAATGAAATGTTTAAAATACATATTTTTTGAGGTGCCTGGTGTCCTAAGCATCGACAAACGTGTAGGCTTTGCAAGCCTATACGTCCACGATTGAGCTCTTTCAGAACAGCAAAAAATTCCCTATTCACAAAGCTATACATTTTAATAATAATAATAAAAAAAAGTCTCTCACAAAAGAAAAACATTTCATTTTCATGATGGAAAACTTTTGACAGACACATAGGTACACACTCACTCACAGTAGCACACACGTGACCAATGGCATGATCCTCCTAGCAGAGATAATAGTAATAACAAAAATGATGACAAATATAACTAGTTTGTCTTCAGATTAATTGTAGAACTAGTTCATTAATGTTGAATCTTTAACCTCCAATTAGTCAATTGATTTTTTCATTTAGCTTCTAGCTTTTTATTTTCAATATTTAATCTCTCTCTCCACACATATATACACATGCATATATACAGTTGTGTGAAAAAGTGTTTGCCCCCTTCCTGATTTCTTATTGTTTTGCATGTTTGTCACACTTAAATGTTTCAGATCATCAAACAAATTTAATTATTAGACAAAGATAACACAAGTAAACACAAAATGCAGTTTTTAAATGAAGGTTTTTATTATTAAGGGGAAACAAAAATCCAAACCTACATGGCCCTGTGTGAAAAAGTGATTGCCCCCCTGTTAAAACTTAAATTAACTGTGGTTTATCACATCTTTGGAAAGCTGAGTTCAATTTCTCTAGCCACACCCAGGCCTGATTACTGCCACACCTGTTCTCAATCAAGAAATCACTTAAATAGGACCTGCCTGACAAAGTGAGGTAGACCAAAAGATCCTCAAAAGCTAGACATCATGCTGCGATCCAAAGAAATTCAGGAACAAATGAGAAACAAAGTAATTGAGATCTATCAGTCTGGAAAAGGTTACAAAGCCTTTTCTAAAGCTTTGGGACTCCAACGAACCACAGTGAGAGCCATTATCCACAAATGGCGAAAACATGGAACAGTGGTGAACCTTCCCAGGAGTGGCCGGCCGACCAAAATTACCCCAAGAGCGCAGCGACGACTCATCCAAGAGGTCACAAAAGACCCCAGAACAACATACAAAGAACTGCAGGCCTCACTTGCCTCAATTAAGGTCAGTGTTCATGACTCCACCATAAGAAAGAGACTGGGCAAAAATGGCCTGCTGGCAGAGTTCCAAGACGAAAACCACTGCTGAGCAAAAAGAACATAAAGGCTCGTCTCAGTTTTGCCAGAAAACATCTTGATGATCCACAAGACTTTTGGGAAAATACTCTGTGGACTGACGAGACAAAAGTTGAACTTTTTGGAAGGTGTATGTCCCATTACATCTGGCGTAAAAGTAGCACGGCATTTCAGAAAAGGAACATCATACCAACAGTAAAATATGTTGGTGGTAGTGTGATGGTCTGGGGCTGTTTTGCTGCTTCAGCACCTGGAAGACTTGCTGTGGTAAATGGAACCATGAATTCTGCTGTCTACCAAAAAATCCTGAAGGAGAATGTCCGGCCATCTGTTCGTGACCTCAAGCTGAAGCGCACTTGGGTTCTGCAGCAGGACAATGATCCAAAACACACCAGCAAGTCCACCTCTGAATGGCTTAAGAAAAACAAAATGAAGACTTTGGAGTGGCCTAGTCAAAGTCCCGACCTGAATCCGATTGAGATGCTGTGGCATGACCTTGAAAAGGCGGTTCATGCTCGAAAACCCTCCAATGTGGCTGAATTACAACAATTCTGCAAAGATGAGTAGGCCAAAATTCCTCTACAGCGCTGTAAAAGACTCATTGCCAGTTATCGCAAACGCTTGATTGCAGTTGTTGCTGCTAAGGGTGGCCCAACCAGTTATTAGGTTTAGGGGGCAATCACTTTTTCACACAGGGCCATGTAGGTTTGGATTCTTTTTCCCCCTTAATAATAAAAACTTCATTTAAAAACTGCATTTTGTTTACTTGTGTTATCTTTGTCTAATATTTAAATTTGTTCGATGATCTGAAACATTTAAGTGTGACAAACATGCAAAAAATAAGAAATCAGGAAGGGGGCAAACACTTTTTCACAACTGTATGTAAGCTGCAACCTCATATTGATCATTTTAATGGCAAATCACTTACTTTGATAGCCCTTGAATGAGTCCCGGCACGGACAATGCATCATGAATCAAACATATACACTTGTCACGGATGAAAAGCACAGGTGGAACGAGTAGCATTAACGATTGCTCACGTCCAGCTATAAATGTAATGGACTGCAGAATGAGCTGTGGTGACAGTTTGTGATTAAATGAGCTGTGATGATTGCTACAGTATTTATCTTTCCATTAAGACTTTGACTGACGCGTCTAAAGAGCACCGATTACCATCACTGCTTGCTATCATGAGGATCCAAGTACTTCTTCCACCTCATAAATAGAAAGAATTTCAAAGGACATTAAAACGTGAAAATCTCATCCCATTGGATGATTTTAAACATATTTTGGAATTTTTTTAGAAAAGGTTGTGATTGTTTGTGTGCTCCTGTGACTGGCTGTTATTTTAAATTTCTCGTGCTGTACTCAAGTCTCTTACCGAATAGATCTCGTGCTCAATGGGAAAACTTGATTAAACAAAGGTTTTATATAAATTATAACTAGTCAAAGAAATGCATTTGTCATAATGAAACAATAATATTCTTGACTGTGGGGCCCCGGAGCTCAATGCTGATGACAAAACTGGCGCCATCTGTTGACCTCCACGCAGAACTACAATTCAACACACCAGTGAGAGAGAAAAGGGAAAAAAGACAGAGGTAGTAACGCTTTGAGTAGAAAGATAAAGTAGACTTTATTTTATGGTGAAACCTAAATAAGATCTGCGATTACAAAACAGGTTCCCCACACAGTTTTTTTTTTTTGTTTTTTTTCTTAAACGTCACAGAGGTTGGAATGCTGTACTGACAGAAAGGCATCAGAGACTGGACCTAAAAACATGGACTTAGAAGAAGTAAGAGAGCAGACACTGAGTTCAGAGGGAACACCGTTCAATTTAAAAAAATAAGTCACAAGTTGTTCCTATGATCTACGGCAGTCTGATTAAAGTTCATGAACAGATTTATCAACTCCCAACGGCAGAAACTAAAAAGCAAACGTGAGGTTACAGAGTCGGGAGATGCAGGGAGTGAACAGGCATCGATGCTAAAGATTACTTGGATTTTCCTGTGCTAAGCATTCATTTTCTTGACATCACTAGTTCATGACGAGCCTTTGTTCGGATATAAAAACTTACAATACACATCAGCTTGTGAATTGTAAAACGCCAAATAAGTGGTGAGACGAGTGTAAGTCTTTGCTATTCGACAGTGAACCATTTATGTTCCTAAGCACTTCCTCAGACCGAGGAAACGATACACTGTACAGAAAACCTTAAACTGAGTGGCATGTCCCTTTAAGTAGCCTCACAAACTAACATGTACGCACTCCTGCATCCCGTCATAATCCATCTGCAAAAAGGAAACATTGAAAAATATTTGCCTCGTCAACACTCAGGAAAAAAGTATAGTACTGTAGGTGTCATGTTTGTATGTCTTAATCTACTACTTTTAGGGGAATAGTTAGACATTTTGGGAAATACTTTTATTCTCTTTCTTGCTGAGAGTTAGAGGAGAATATCTAAACTGTGGTACGGATGCTCTCATCTAAACCCCATTGAAGCTTTCCTTCAATTCGAGTCAGGCTTGAACGACATACTTTAGTGTAATCTTACAAATGCAGGTGTGTTCTCATGTTTTTTTACCCAGATAAAAAAAAGAAATAGTTACCAACACCTGAAACACAAAAACAATCTCACAAATGTTCCATCTTACCAAACTGTGAACAAGTCTTAACTTCATAGTCCCAACGAGAGTCACTCTCGGAGATATCATATCTGGGACTATTACTCTTGAGGCTTTATCTTTTTTTTTTTTTTTTTTGGCCATGAACCTCCCATTCTCTATCTCTGACGTGAGACAACCGTGCTGTAGCGTCTTCTGCTCCTGATAACGGTCCTTTTCTGTACATCAACGGATCAATGTTTAAAGATGGATCTGGTCCCATCTGCCCCCCCCCCAAATACTCCCAAACACCGCAGTTCCCTTCGTCCTTGAGGTTTGCACCCAAGTGTTGGCAGCAACAAGGAAAAGCACATTAAAAAATAGACATCTTTAAATAGCTATTCAGCTTGTCTAAGCGCAGCACAATCGGAAACATTAAATTCAAGTCATCATTATTTTCTCCCCTCCCATGTATCATACAACGAATATAAACAAACAGAAATAATCATTTTCAGTTAAGAAACTAAATGTGAATGGATAAATCTTTGATCAGACAGATAAACAATATACTGCAGCCACACTGTAACATCCAAAAATAGTCTTAAGTTGAAATATATATATTTTCTGCCAAAGAAATGCTGGCGTCCTAAGTCACTCTAGTAGATTTAATATACTGTTGAGGTGTAATTTGTGTTCTTTCTGTCTACGTCAATCCTCTCCTGACAGTCCTGAACACGATGGTCAAACCGTTACGGAATAAAAAACGGACGTCCGGTGTCATTTGGCACATGGGGTGCTCTCGCTGGCCGCCACACTGACGTCGGGATCTTTGTCGTCTGTGGTGACGGCTGCAGCCTCGGCGCTCTTGTCCTGGTTGTCATTATTACTACTATCACTGTTGTTGTTGTTGTTGTTGTTGTTGTTGTTGTGGACACTCGGGAGCCCGTGGCTGTTGTTCTGGACCAGAGCACCGCTGCTGAGCCTCAACTCATCCAGCTTCTTCCACAGCTCGTCCCTCTCCTGCTCTTTCTTCTTCTCCCTGAGACGACAACATGCAACAAAAACACAAAGACAGAAAAGGAACAAATAAAACACAGACGGCTTATATTCATGAGAGACAGTTGATTTAATAAAATACTAACTCGACGAATCACTTTATTCGTTGTAAAATGTGACGGCATACATCCAAAAACCTCAATAGAAGCTTTGAATTTCATACAGCCCTGCTATCCAGAGACTTTGATCTGGTGCTCAAATATGAGCTCAGGTGCATTCTGTTTGCCGATTATCCTTGAGATATATCTAGAGTCCACTTATGGCGAATTCAATCTATTGGACATGATTTAGAAAGGTCCCTCCATTCACAGTGCTCGTCAGATTAAGTTAACATCTGGTTTTTAGCTGACAGAGACGCTGCACTTATTCATTCTCTCAGAGGGAAGTTCATATTTTCTGATGTGCACGTGTGGCGCCGGGGACAGTTTACTGAGAGTGGCCCAGTAGTTGTCAAACAATGTTTATGTAAATCTGTGACTCACCGTTGCCGCTCTGCTTTGTAGGAGGAAGTCAACTCGTCAAACAGCGTGCAGTTCATCTCCATCAGCGTCTTCAGCACGTTGTAGACCAGAGCTACGATTGTCCTGCAACACCGCACGCACACACACACACACACATCAACAATTTGGGAATTGGATGAACTTATTGGGAGTTATTATTGTTTGTATTAAGGTTTTCACTCTCTTTGTTCATCTCATGGAGTAACTGTAACTTTATATCTGTTATTGCGGCGTCTTTATGTCAATAAGCAGCACATATCTTTCATTGATATGAACTCTACATATACAATGATTAACATACTGGTTCAAAGAAAGTTATTCGTGAGTAATACAGAAAATGTGTGCAGAGGTTTTATTGCTTTTAGGAAACGACACGCGTCATCATGGTGGCGTCTACATGTCTGTCTGTAAAGTGTGAACATAATCTGAAGAACAGCACATGACGGCAACATCACGGCAGGTTTGTGAGCATCGATGTTCCTTCTTGATTCAGTGTTACGATGTGTTAATGATCCGTTAGTCAGACTGCAGCACTTACGGGTTCCAGTGCTCTTTGGAGATTCTGTAGAGGCTACCGAACATGATGGGGAGGACCTTGTCGATGTTTTCCTCGATGAGGCTCAGAATGTACTCGTTATTCCAGAAGTACAGCGCCCGCTCCGCGACCTGCCAAGACAGGAAACAAATTGAAGAAAGGCTTCAGTCGGATTGCGTTTGTGCCGCTTGATGACCCCTTTTCTTTTCAATCATTGAAGTTAACTCAGTAGAAAACGAAAGTTCAGATGAAGGAGCAAACAAACGCCCGTCAGACATAAACATGACGGCAACTTCACACGTCGGGTCTGAAGAAGTGCCCGAGTCTCTTTAAAGTCACAGCAGCCATCTTTAACTTCCTCACTGCAGGAGGAGTGGACTAAATAACACAAACACCTGTCAGCATCTAAGACAAAGGTGGTAGATTGATTGAACGTGTCTGTGTGCTTCCGTGTGTCATGAGCGTACCTGGAAGTGTGGATTGGCCACGCATTTAGAGATCTGTTTGAACAGCGGCTCCTGGATCTTCTTGAATTGTGTCGGCTCAATGACGTCCAGAATCTCCTCGATTTCACCCAGAAACATCACCTAAATCGGACACAAGGTGCAGACCGTGAAGCAACACGAAGATCTGGTTGACGTATGTTTGAAGTGCATTTCTAGACGTGCTCGTTACCTCTTTCTGGCTGCAGGTTTTTGGCCAAAACTTCAGCAGCCCGCGGATCACCTGCACAGGAAAGATAGCAGAGAATTGTGTGAAAAATTGCTGAGAAAACAACAACCCCAGTCTGCTCGAGTGGGTGGCTGCTGGCACATTTCTCTGCAGTGTAGACTCATTTAGTGCTCCAGGCGTTGTGCTTTGAGTGGGAGGAATGATAAAAATAAGTACCGGTTCAGTAAGTGTAGGATCTTTCTCCAGGAACTGGACCACACAGTAGGCCAGCTGAGAGACACAAAAGAAAGAAGTAAAAGTACACACTGTTCCCAAAAACAGCATCAGACGAATACCGACATCATCTGAAACGATTATCTCTCTTTTTAAATATGTATTTAGAATGAAAACCTCTGACAAATGTTATTATTCTTATAAACTCCCACTATGGTCGTGTTGATGAATTTAAGATGCACTGTAATGCAGTAATAATCAGTGAAACAGTGCAGTTTCACTGCCGAGCCACCAGGAGGTGCTGCGGAACAGAAATGGCATCATGACTGTGCTTAATCCTGCAGAAACAATCCTTAACAAACCGCACATTTTAGTTATACACCAACAACCTACAGGGTATGCAGCCAAAATGAATGTGATTTATAAAAACAACAAACGTGATTAAATATTAAAGACAGATTCTCCTACCTGTGCATGGAAAAGGGCCAGTCCTTTAGCTGTGTGCAACGGGATGAGCACCTTCATCAGGAACTGCTTGTGCTCGGCCTTCAGAGGCAACGCAAACCCATTGATGATACTACAAACAGAGAAACGGTGTTAGACGGATAACGGCGCAGAAAGACACACACACAACACGGACTGTTTGCAGTAAAGCTGTGACACAATAAAGACCAACGTTTCTTTGATACCGACTCAGTGAGGACGTAAAGTACAAAGCCAGAGGCTGAAAGTTCTACTTTTCTTAAATGCATCCAGTATTTTACAACCGTAACAATATAACCTTGACGTTTTGTTTACGCACTTAACAGTCAAAGCTGAAGGATATTAATAGTTACAGATTACTTTTTTCATTCTTGTGCAGCATAAACAGACTATAACTTAATTTTCGTTGTGCAACTCTGTCTCGTAGAATGACAATAAATGAACCTCGGTATTAGAGGATAGTAACATTATTACTCACCTTCCCAGGATTTCTAAAAGCTCAGCAACACCGTTGAAGTGCTCAGTTTCATAGATGAACCTGCAACAAAAACAATCACACACACACACACACACACACACACACACACACACACACACACGAGAACAATTGAGTCAGACTGCTCCCAATACCGTGTTCCTTTCAGATATTGTCTCTCTGAAGTGTTATTTAAACATCCAGCGAAGAACGACTTGGAAAAGAAACCAGCATATTGAGCTGCTCTTATGCAACGCAATGATCCAAACATCACTGCTTGGTAACCCATCGTCGTCTCGCGGTGCAGCCGCGGTATGTACAGACAGAGCCCGACAACTGGGGCACTATTTTTATTCTCAGTGGCAGATGGTCAAAGTGGGTGCACGCGTTCTGCCACCTCGCCTGTTGGAGACGACATCAAGTGCCGCTGTTTCAATCATCTACAGCTTATTGTCACGCAGCAACAGGAGCCGTACAGAATCAACACACTGCTGTTGGGAATATACGATGCCGCCCATCTGAACATTTGTCTTCCTTCTCTGAGGTTAATCCGTTTGTATTGTACGGCCAATAAGAGGAAAATTAAATAAAAAAGGAAGACTTTGTCTGCGGGAAAGGACATGAAACATGTTTCGCTTTTTAACATTTCACTCACCGCAAGAAAATGTTGTTGATCTGCTTCCTGATGAAGGCACGCAACCCCAGGAACTTTCCATAGATCCGATGCAGGATGGTCTTCAGGAAGTCCCTCTCCCTCGGGTCCTCGCTGTCGAACAGCTCCAGGAGCTGAGAGGACAAACGCAGCACCTCAGTCTTCAGTCCGGATTCATGCCAAAGCTTTTATTTCATCTCGTATCGTGTCGTCTCACTGCTGTGTTGTCACGATGCACTCGCACTGTGATTCATTTGTTACCACTGAAGTGTTTGACTGAATAGGATGAACATGAATACATTCGTACCATTTTAAAACACTTTCAATACAAATGCAGGGTTTTGGTGGTAAATGGTGGTTGAAAATACGTCGTTTTTTTTTCTTTTTCGGTTGTGCTTCTGATTAATTAGTGTTAAGTGAATGTAATGTTGGTTTTGACATGTGACCATTTCCCATGAAGCATGATAAGCCTCCACTATAAATCGCAAATAAGTGTAAATAAATAAGTCATATCACACCAGCAACGTATGAGACAAATATACGGTATGCGTGTCCGAATGCTCGGCATTGTAATTACATGTGAAACAGCTGGTGTTTAACAGCTATTTACAGCAACATGTGATGAGTCATTATTACAGTACTGTGGGGTTCAAAAGGAATGTTTAGAGGCTCACATCAGCTCCAGAGCGAGGTACTTAACGTTAGCCTGCGTGCCATCAGCACCTCGGTGACGGACCTGACCGTCTATTTTTACTTCTGCGTAAATCCAGGGAAGGTTTTCATCATCGCGCTCAATTAAATGGTGCAACACAGAAATACTGCGTTGACCCTCAAGTGGTGAGCCTTCTCCTAACCATCAGCTTCCAGCCCGGGCAGCTCACTCCATGAGAGCCCAACCGCTCGCTCGCTGAAGAAATTAAAGTACAGCTATGCCACCATCACCGACAGCAGTGGTGTTTATTTTTCCAGCTTCAAGGGAACTTTATCGACCGATTTAAACGGTTTGTTTATGTTATGGGTTGTGTAAAGGTCGGGCCATTGTTGTATCTTTGTCCCTTCCCCTTTATTTTACCTGCCATCACAATGGCAGTACTAGTCAAGTCACGTTACGTCAGGTTAATTTACATGGGCACACAGTTCCCTCCATCCACACGCTGACACACAGAGGTGGCTGTTCCTAATCTCTCTGGAGGAATGTGGCCACTGCATGCGATGCTGTGAACCAATGTGCAGCGATGCTTTGTGGCAAGTATTTGGTTTACAGTACTTTCACCAATGCGAGATGAAGTACCTTCATTTGTATTTATTATTTGATTCTGCCCAACACAGACGTTTCCATCTGGTATTGTATCTATCAACACTTTTATCAAGCGTACTATATCATCAGATATACGTATATTAATATGATGAAAATGTATGTAACAGTGATACAAGATTTTATCCCCGATCAAAACTATTTCTCTTCAAGTACAAAACATGTTCTGGCTACAGCCTCTCAAATGTGAGGACCAGCTGTCTGTCTGTTTCACATCATTGTAAATTAAATATCTGTGAAGACATGTTGCAATGGACTCTGGGAACTTGTGATGGATACATTTTTTGAATCTTATAGTCTAGCCCTAAAAGGCACGACACCTACTGCCTCATGCACATAACGTGTACGCAGAGGAGGAAGACTGAAAATACTGCAGAGAAGAATAAGAAATGATTTTCTACAAAATACACTTCATGTTTTGGTCAAACTTGAATCCTTTCTGACGAGACTGAGGAGATGACGTTGAACTAAAGTTGATAAAGGACAACTTGGGATACAGACATTGGACCCGACTTCATGATGAATATAATTCAGACTATAATTCAGGTAAGTTCAATAATCACTAAAGGTCAAACTCCTATCAGAGTCTTCTGAGCAGTACATGTCCCAGAGTAAACAAATCATTACTCTGCGACATGTTGTGTCCATCTGTAGTTGCACACAATCATAGAGGCAATTTCCCATCAGTATTCAGGGAAACAAATTCAGATCTCAAGAAGAGCACAATTCTCCTTCATGGTCAAAACGGAACTCTTGGTAATCAAATACAAACAGCACGTCTCTGTTCATCTCATCGTTATGAAGTTATGAGAGGAAGATTATCCACTGTGAGATAAGCAGGCCATTACTGGAATTAAATGAGACATTCCCAGACTAAACGCCCGTCTGTCCACCAAATATGATCGAGATTAAGACTTCACAAACAGACCAGAGCAACAAAGAAGGGATACGTATAAGTAATACAAATAATAATAACATCCAGATTAGCAAACCAACCGACGTTTGTTTATTTCCGTAAAAAACCTCAGGCTCCACTTGCTGGACGATGTCACATGTTTCAGCCTAAGGTTCGTCTGTACTGCATGAAGCTCAATTCTGAATTAACTTCAATCTGCAACTAATAATAGCAGAATAAAATCAAAAAGAAATGAGTGAGAAATTGAGCTTAATACGATTTTACTTTGTTTTGTGATTAAATGTCTCTGCTTCATGTGTGTGTTTGTCGCCTGTTCTCTTTCTAGGTTACAAAGAGGAGAGGAGGCCGCCTGGTTCAGGCTGCATCCGTTTGACGACACCTAGAAGCTGCTTGACATCGTCTTGGATGCTGCTTTTTAATATAAGGTCACATTATAAGTATCATTTCTGTCATATGGACCGTCTGTTGTAATTTAATTGTGTTACTTATTCTGTACACACAAAAATCTATCAGTGCGTCCTGGAAGAGGGATCCCTCCTCAGTTGCTCTTCCTGAGGTTTCTTCCATTTGTTCTTGACTGGACGTCCGGGCTGCTCTTGTGCTTTGATTTCTTTGGTGAATATGTTTGTGAACATCTTGAAGACCTATTCCTGTGCTGTGTGTATTATGATAACTTAAGTTAACCGAACCACGGGCCATCTCTCCACCCAAATCTATACCTCCTCACTCCCACCGCTCCAACCACAGTCCCCCCTTTCTCAACCTGAAGAGTAAACAACCGGCAGCTATTTAAAGCCGCCCCGCGACAGTCGCATCATGGAAAGTCTGTCCAGGCACCTTGGATGTGGCCCGGCTAACATTCCTGGCCCTGTGGTCCCCCGTTAGCTGCTGCTTCACATAAGAAGTGAGGCATTCCTGCAGAAGGTGGGTACTGAGCGAGGGCAGAGGGAGCCCAGCTGCAGCTCATTCATGGTTTCACTCATCCGACTGATAAAACTGCACCGTCCCAAAACGCATCACATTGTGCTGCTAATGACAGCTGTTCGCCACATGAGAAATAAGGTTTTCTTAAAATGTGACCTGAGGTGTCTCTGACTACTAACAAACCTAACTGCCCTGATGATTTTTCAAGTACACAAACTATTTGTAAATATTGTAATCCTAATGCTTCTTCTATTAAGAAATGTAGATTAATGTCTGTAACTGAAAACATTCTGATACATTCACACAAGCATTGTCATAAGTCGTGCTAAATGTCTTTTAGAAATGTTGTAAAAAAAGACTCCTACCTGCAGAACAAATTTCTGATCGATGTGTCGCTTTGCAATGCTGGGCTGGAAGTCTGGATTCTCTAGAAAGCGCAGCAGAAACTCATAGACCAGCTGGAAGACAAAAGACAAAAACAACCAGAATCACTGACGAGCAGTCAGGTTGCAGTTTACATCCATGCCTGTTCAAAATGTAATTGTCTACAACTACACAAACACACAATGATGTAATCAAAAGGGTGAAGAGGACTTGTACCTGAATGTGAGGCCAGGAAGCCTCCAGAGTGGGTTCATCCTCCTCTGGGTCAAAATCAGGGTTGTCACTTGGTGGAAGAGTCCGGAAGATATTGGTGCAGATCTGGAGGGGAGGAGAAGTATAATAATGAATAAAGGCTTATTAATAATAAATAAAAAACATTGTTTAACATGCCAGGAGAGTATGAGAGGAGGAACATCAGAGTTACCTTTACTTTAAACATGATGGGTAGAATAGTGACATTTGATGAAATTAAATATATATCTGCTAAATGCCTATAAAGCATACAAGTGAAAGATTAATTATGTTTCCAGTGCTCTACACCCACTATAATTAAACAAGCTGGTTGTAGCATTATTTAAATACTGCTTCTGTAATTGGTGGGCAACATTGCTCGCCACACTCCCCTCCTCCTAAAACCACATACGCCATGTTGTGTAGCGTGAAAGAGTAAGACAGCGTTCCAATAGCGTGACAAACCTTGCAGTAACTTTGGTTGCAGGGAATTTGCCCGGAGGCCAAATAACTCAAGACAAGACGAGACACTGGCATCAGCTTTTTGAGCCGTACGGCTGTTTTTGTGATCAGTAGCTTGAAAAATAGAAATCTGTACCAAAAAACGATCACTGTCGACAAAGCACCGCCACCTCCATCCCACCGTGTTATTTTTAGCAAGGAGTACATTTGAGAGTGGCGCACACAGCATTAGGGAGCTGGAAAATTTTTTCTCGACAGTGAGAATACCGTCATCATAACTTCCGCCCGTCAGTGTCTGAACACCATATGACGTTTGTTGTAGAGGTCTGCTTATTTGGGATCAAAGAAGATCTCAGCTTGGGCCAGAAAACCTGACGCAGCCCCTTCATACCTTGGAGATGATGGCCTTGCTCTCAATATGCCAAACTGTAACAAGTTTTACCTCGGTCACTGTTTTTCTTCCCAAGTATTGAGGATTGTTCAAAAAAGTGATTTTACATTGCTGGATATGATCTTTATATTTTGATTAATGCTGACTTGATAACTCGATGCTGAAGGGAATGGTACCCAGCCTGGTCTTGTGCTGCTGTAGCCCATCAGTGCATTCAGAGATGCCCTTCAGCTCGCCACTGTCGTACCGAGCTGTTATTTGCCTGCTTGTGCCCTTCCTGTTATTTCAGAGAGGTCTGACAGTGTAAGTGCAGTCGTTTCTGGGCTGATGAAAACACCATCTGGACACAACAATTGTACAAACATCCAGCATCTCGTCCCGTCTTTAGCCAAACAGCGAGAGATCCTGTTGACTGCGAGCGTGCTTTAAACACTGTGCGTGACTGAACCACCTTTCTGACCACAGTCATGGTACATCGTTACTTTATATAATGATCTGTATGCAGATGCTGATAAGGGGGCAGATAAATAAGTCAGTGGGCCAGCTCTCTCTGTGGCATATCACTTAGCTGTCCCTGGTGTGAGGCCTGTCATTGGCTGAGCTCGAAGCAGATGACTCACAGAGCGGGTTGCCAGGCGGGACATTGTGCCTCGGCGTGATGACCATTTTACCAGGAGGAGAGCTCTGAGGCCAACAACACAGAACTGCTCTGGCAGCCGATCTCCATTGAGGGTATTAATCTGTGGATTTATTGGCCTTCAGCAGGAGGTGCACAGAGAGAGACATGAGTCCAACGCACTGCATGAGATGACAGGGACAAGTGAATGCTGTTGTTCTTAAAGCGATGGAAACGTAGGTATCCTAGTGACTCGCTGATCGAGCAGCCGCAGTGGCTGTGGCACACAACCCATGAAGACAATTAAGGTACTTTAAAACCCTGAGCCTCTTATTGCTTTGCGTCAAACATCTTACTCCTCTCAAAACTCAGTCAAATCTGAACACACAAGATATGCATTTTTAGATTTAGAGTTGCATTTACGAAGATATCATCATCTAGAATGTCCATCGCAATAAAACATCAATAAATCTGCATAATAAAGGCCCTCCTTATTACTCCAGAACTCGCCTGAAAACCTGTTCTGACAAGTGAAGGCAATGCTGCAGTGTCTTAAACTTGCATTCTCTCTACTGGCCAGCAGGAGGCGACTCCTCTGGTTGCAAAAAGAAGTCAGATTGTATGAAAGTCTATGAGAAAGTGACCCTACTTCTAACTTGATTTATTACCTCAGTAAACATGAGTTTATGGTCTCAATCGCTAGTTTAAAGTCTTCTTCAATACCGCATGGTGTTCATTTAGTAAACTATTGTCCCATTGAGATTCAAATAGACCATAAAGCGAAGTGCGCTTTAGGGCGGGCTTACTGTGAATGACAGGTCGCTGCCGCTACCAGAGCCGTATACGACGTCTCTACGTCACTCCTCCGCAGTCCAAACCCGGTAACTTCTGCTCATTGGTTGCAAAAAGCCAAGATGGCAACGGCCAAATCGCCGAACTCTATGCTTCAAAACGGTATTCTACAAACCAATGGGTGACGTCACGAAGACTACGTCCACTTCTCATATACAGTCTGTGTGTATTTCAGTTTTTCTTTTTTAATAAATTTGCAAAAATTTCTACATTTCTGTTTTTTTCTGTCAAGATGGGGTGCTGAGTGTACATTAATGAGAAATAAAATGAACTTTTTTGATTTTAGCAAATGGCTGCAATGAAACAAAGAGTGAAAAATTTAAAGGGGTCTGAATACTTTCCGTACCCACTGTATGTATATACATACAGTACAAAGGGTTGTCAGAAGTCCCAGATGCACAGTCTGTACACAATAATGGGTTACATAATTCAGCACACAAGCATTCGGCATATTTAATTCCCCCGTCACTTCACAATGCCAGAAAATAACTACAGTTGGCCAAAACAAGAGAAAATATTGTGGGAGGATAGCAAACAAGGGTAGAGTGTGAGAAAGAAAAAAAAAAATGAAACTTGAGATGTGTGTAAAAGTAATGTAGGAGGGTCCAAACAAAAGGCCGTTTCTAACTGACAATGCTGCGAGTGAGGCCAGTGTACACATGCTGATGACAAAAGGAGGCTGTAGCTCTGAATGGGGTCAAACTGAGGGTGGCAATAGTAGCAACCGACACCTAGCAACGCTGAGAAAGAGAGAGGAAGAGAGACAGAAAGGAAGAGGGAAAAAGTGCAAGCATTGAGCGCAGCATTAGCGAAAAAGAATGAAAAAGGTGGGAATTAAAGCAAATAAAAGGGGAATTATAGCTCAAAGATGCTCTTTTCAACCAACCCTGCTGGCTATTCACACATCTCTGGCACAGATAAGATAGAACACAAACACAACTGTCAGAGATGAAGAACACAAACTATTTCTATAATAAGCACTAATTATAGAATTGGCAAATAAGGCGACGCTTCCTTTCACATAGATGAGAAACCGGGCCGTTTGTACTCCTGACAACCTCCGTGATCAAAGCAGTCCTCGCTGCAGAGGAATAATGGACAGCACTTTAAACCCTCACCTCTTCATTAGAACGTGATGCCAAGCATGGAGTATCCGGGAGAGCTATTATCAACCCACGCCTTCTGAGTGCAGCTGCTATTTGCTTAACCTTGTTCAGAACACCGTCTGTAGGCCGGGACCGGGTTTGTCTTGAGCCCGACCCACGTCGAGATAAATTACATTACCAGGAAGGACAATACCTGTGCAGCGGCAGGTTTCAGCGAATTTCAGCTATTCGAGTCCTACAAACCCGCTAACCTGCTAGTGTGGGAACCAGAGAGGTCACCGGTGTGACGTGTGCAACCGAGATATTCCACGTTAAGTAGCTCATTATACAGTTACCGACCCGTTTCTCACACACTTCCGTCTGTGCACTTTCCTGGCCGTCTGTTTGTCTGCCAAAGCATGATTGAAAAAGAAGAATTGTTCATTTAAATAACTGCTTCTGGTTAGTGCGACGCATTACCATGATTGCTTTAGTGCGAGTATATCCGATCACTTATATTTTCATTACTTTAGACCGTCTGTGTTGGCACATTGAAAAGTGAATCATGCCAGCACAGAATCCAATATATCCATCCTGTAATTACCACAGGGCCCCATGTTTATATTTAGGAAAAGATCCATGATGGTTAAACTCAGAATAGAAGACCCAGTTTGAAAATGAATCTACATTTAGTGTTTTACTGTTTATTTGAGCTCTTTTTGTTTACTGCAGCTTTGCCAACTCCTGACAAAGTGAAGGTAGAGAGATATTGATTTTAATTCTGGTGGTATTAGAAGCCATAACAGTGTCCTTGCTGTGTGTTTTGGTCGCTTTAAGGGTGGAACCGGTACGATAACATGTAGCATGTTGCTAATACATACTGTACCTTGAACACAGATCTTCCAGCAGATTAAACATTGAATTAAATGTTAGATGGCTGACACTGTTACCAGCCACCTTCATATTTACCCTCATATTCCATGTTTGCATTGCCTCCCTGCTGCCAATGTTTGGCAAAGTGTGGCAACAGCACCTGAATTTTATGATCATCTTCTTATTGGAAATGGCCCATCTCTTGATCACTGTAATTAGACATCTGAACCACATAATGCAAATGAATCCAGGAAATAATATTTAGACAGCTGAGTACTCAAGACATATTAGTACAGAATGTGCCTGAATGGTACTGTTGGTATATTAGACTTCACTTCACTGCCAGTCTGGTGAGTTCTATTATCAAAAAGGCAAAGAAAGCCAAAATAACAATGATAAAAACAGGTCCCCCTGTCTCCAAACCTACGAGGAAAATGGTTAAACTTGCATTGTTCTGTCGTCATTTAGCGCAAGAACATATTTTCAGCAACTTTCAAAGAGCCAGCTCTTCTGCTCCTTTTCATTTTGCTACCTATTGCACATCAACAATTATCAGCAATTATCTGAACCTGAAAAACAGCTTGAAAGACAACAGTGAGAGACAAACTGAATCCTAATTCAACAGTTGCAAGGCATGGCCTGGACTAATAATGTGAAGACTGATTGAGATGTGCTCAGTCCTATCCATCCTGATAATCTGCAGCGTGGAGTGAATCACTGCAGCGCTGACGCTCCTGTAAATGTTGCCTGTGAGTCATGATTGTACTGTAGGCGGAAACACCTGCTCCAGGAACACACCTGTACTATGTTGGCCTCAGATGCTTAGCAGATTATTGTGTAATCACAAAGTGGTCATCACTCAGCCCCGACCTTTGGAAACTTGGCCCTGCATTCATGGAAATACTGTACATCTCCAGGTAATACGTTAATAGAATATGACTTCATATAATTACTAAACACTAAAATGTCAATTTCGCATGCCACTCTTCAATAGGCGTCTTTTTAATCATCGTTATCGGGGAAACGTGAAAAGAATCTAAACAGATACATCAGCTGTTGGACAGTCGTTATAAACGTGTATGTTGGAAAAATCTCTGTGCTTGACGAGGTCATGTGACCTGCGTTACCATACATTGCCCCACAGAGGCGCACTGTTCTTGGTGTTTGGTTTCAAGAGAGCAAAAGAGAGAGTGACATGTTCAACAAAGAGAAGAGTTTACGCATTTAGCTTACTGTGTGCTATTTAGGTGTTAACTGAGATTAGACATTAGTCTAAATCTTAGTCAGTGGATTATGTTCACACAGAGAATACGACTGTTAGTGCAACTCAACTTCAAACAAGGTCAGTGGTATTTTCCTTTGTACTGGTTCATGTGTGTGTCGTCATATAAGCTTTCAACAGCAGCAACTGCTACTAGAAGTGTTGAAAGACAGAAGCTATTGCTCTCATCATCAAACATGTTTTTAAGAGAAAACGGAGAAAAAAGGAATAACAAAAACGGTGTCAGACATGAAACTTTATGAACTCTGCATGTACTGTATTCAGAGGGTGAGAGAAAGAGGAGGGAAGAAACTTCAAATTACACCCTGAATATTGGGCCTTTCCTGTGGATTTTGTGCTTGAATGGAACCAGTATTGTGACCGCTCACCATGTTAGTGATCTCTGGGTACGTAGTTTCCACCAGCACCCCTCTGTTGGTGGAGACGTAGTCCACGAGCTCGTTCAGAGTGGCCCTCTTGATCTCCTTGCTCTTCAGGTCCATCACAGAGTCCAGGAAGTCGAAGAGCATGCAGCACTGCTGGAGCTTCTGGGTGAAGAGCTCCTGCTGCTCTGTGGAGGGGGCATCTGGAACCACACAGAAGAAAAGAAACGCACTGAGTCGCTGCTCGTATGCACAGTGGAAGGCATAATGTGAGGATCTATGCAAACAGATGACAGACATTTGTTCCTCTCGGTGGTAGGAATTTATTAAGGCACGGGTTAAGATTATCTTTTGTTTTTAACATCCCTAACCAGTTCAAATCATAAATGGACGGGATTAAAGAAAAGAAAAGTCCTATAAATGTCCTAAATTGCTGTTTTTTGTGCACACTGTTACATATCTAACTGCTGGACAAACAGACAATGTATTCTGTCACAGAGGATTTGATGGTAAAGCTTTTTATGGATTAGCCGGTGAGTGTGTTCGGGGTTATTAGAGCTGTCAAACTTGACCCCAGCTAAGCTATAAACAGCATTTGGCAGCCGTCCACAAACGCAGTGACACACTGTACAGTGATGTTCTGTTCCAGCAGCAGCAGCAGGACTCCGTCTCTACTGGGGGCAGACGGACCAGCAAAGTGAACCACCGCTGCAGGTCTGATCTACAGCACCTCCAGAACCACAGACCCGGGTTCTAGGGTTACGCAGATATAAATGCCAGCCGGGACACGTGTTGACAATGAGGTGCATATTAATGTCTTCATGTCTCGTGTGATAACTAAAGTTAATAAATCTAGATCTTTTATTAGTTAGTTTTAATTAGTTGTTTAACTTCTCATTAGTGCCGTTTCTCTACCAAAACAGAGCCACATGCATGTAATGCGAGTCTCAATATACTTAAAATAGCCATTATAATAAATAGTATTAATACGCGTACGGTCCTAAAACGGACCTCTTGCATTTCACGGTCAACACAATTCAAATATTCAATCATTAGAATAATTGTTTGTTGCAGCCCTAAAACACACAACACACACGTGTATTTTAGTCGGGGTGAGAGGTGTCATGGTGTCTCTTATTGAGCAGTGTTATGCACCTAAAAAGGCATTACCCAGAATAAAATGGTGGGAGCATAGAGACAACGCGCTGTCAGGCACAGCCAAAGTATTCACACTGCGCCTCACACCTTGTGAAAATGTTCTAGTGGTGTTGACAGCCGACGAAGTACTTATGCAACTGAACTCTACAGGTCAGACTGCTGGCTGCTGCTCCGAGTCAACTCAATATCGGAGGGGAACTGCACCAAGCTCACTTCTGTTCCGTTTCTGTGTGCAGAGAGCTAGATAAGGTGAACAGTACTACTAAAAAGGAAGCTACAAGGAGATGGTTAGTTTAGCACAAAGACCGGACTAGATCAGAAGATAACCATCTGTAAAAACCACAGAATGTACGAATACATTTATACATAGACGGTATAAAAACGTCTCAGTGATGTCACCCAAAGGTGGCTGAAGAACAGTCGTGAAGCTCCCGCCATCACCATCTTGGCACTAAAGACACAGCCCAACTCTAAAGTGGGCAAAGAGGTGGATCGTTGGTGGAGCTGAGGCCGCGTGATCAGAGCAGACAGCTAGCAGCCATGCCCATAATTATGCCCAACTTCAAGCATTTATATATTATATTTATATAGTTATATATAAATTCACCTCCTGTACAGTTGTCATGAACGGGGAAATTAGCTAGAGACCAAACCCGTCTTTGGTAGCAGGCTGTAAACGTGTATTTCTGCTGTAAAGTTGGGCGTTTCAACACGAGGGTCTATGGAGACTGACTCGCTCGTCTCGCCTCAAGTGGCTGTTTGTGGCATGAAAGCAAATAAGCGCATCTCCCAAAACATTGAGCTACTTCGTTAACTCTCTCAGCTCTAAAGCTCTTTTGTTTTTGTGGATATTACATATACTTTATCTATACAATATGCTCCACAACTCTTTCAGGATAGGTCACGGCTTAGCTTCCCTTGCTGTTTCTGCAAACAATGCAGTCAACATTTACGCGGGGCTTTCACATATTTATAATGTGTTTTCAAATCATTTCACTTCTTAACGGGGAAGGACCCCCCCCCCCCCGAGAGGAGAGGAGGCCTGTTAGATACAGTCTGACATGGAGATGCGTTTACCGATGTGGAGCTATTTTTGCCTTTCAGATACAGATGCATGAGTGCACAAATTCCTCGGGGTGCAAGGAAGGAAAATGTTTCCACTGGAGCTACGAAGCTATGCATGAAAACAAAGAAGAAGAAAAACGCTTAAAGACATCGGATAGAAAATCCACATGAATCCAAGCTGCGTACGATCTACATGGATTTAGATGCAGAGCAATACATGCTTGTGGTAATCTGAAGGATATGCTGCATATTCTGACTGCTGTCTCTTACACAAAGCTCCAGGAATCACTTAAAACAATTATCTGTACGCAATGCCGTGTGTTTCATAACCACACATAGACAATAGAAAGTTGCAGGGTTAAAAGGAGAAACCGTTACAGCACAGGATGGATAATTAGAGTTAGAGTAAATAACACAAAGGACATTGGTGTCCTATAGCTGAACTACTGTATCTTAAGTGTAAATGATTCTACTGAATTACAGGTTTCAACATTCATTACAGACCTCTCGAATATCTTAAAGATGACAGCACGACCTCAAATGACACAAGAAGCATAACTCCGTCGCAATTAAGAACAGAAGCGGTTGTTTTATGTAATGAAAGAGCATTTACAGGGAACTTGAGTGTGAGTATTCACATCACCTACAGGCTTCAACCACATTAGTGTTGCTGGAATAAGATCCGAGAAGAATCACACACACATCTACCGGGTCCTAAAATAGGTTGGCGCTTTTTCTGCTCTTGTGTGAAAAAGACCCGAATACAAAAACAAACATAGCAGCTGATCTGCTCTGTATTTACAACACCAGACTAGATGCTGCCGACCGCCGCCATGTTGAAACCAAACGTGACATTAGCTATTGTTAAGAGGTAATAGAAAAGAAAACCTTTAAACTCTGAATATAAATAAGTCAATGGATCTATGTTACAAGAGACGGTACACCTAATAGTAATTTGCAGTAATGATCTGGCTTCAAACTAAAATCTATTGAGCTTTAATATTTCACAATATTTAAAGTTTGGTTCCATATGTAGTACATTCCATTTTCTATTTATTGCATCATTGACTTTTATATAAGTGGCTTCTCAGAAACACGCACTGTACAACACGCAACAAAGACCAGATTGGTGGACAAAAACAGGATCTGAGCTCTACAACCACAGCACTGCAATTAACCAGAGACGAGACAAATGTAAGGAAAAACCTGAATAAAAGAGAAGAGGAACATATCGAATGCACAGTACAGCGCCTTCAAAGTCACCAGAGCTCAACACATCTGAACACCTAAAGCAGCTCTCCACCGTCATCACAACACCTAATGAGGGAAAGTAGAATCCTGAGTCTATGAGCGTCGACACCGACCAGAAATAGTTCTTTCCTTTCAACTATACCATATCTGGGATTTTTTGCAGCGCTATAAACTTTCTTACTATTATCCTATCTTATTACTTTTTTTGACATGAATATACAATACTTCACGATGACAAAAACCAAAAGCATATTTCATAAATGAATGCAACCCTGTTCAAATTTGAATACAAATACGTCTTATGCACATCAAGGATCTCTTTAGACCTCGGCTGAGAGGCTGCATTCATCTTAGATTATCTTGATTGTTTGGATCATGTACATGAAGATGAGGATAGAAAACTGTAGACTTAACATCATTTATTCTATTTAAATATCAGTATTGCAGAAGTATTGTAAATTAAACTGTTTGAAATGTCCCATCATTACATGTTTCCAGTGATTATTAAGTATGAAGGCGCTAATTCGTAGACACAGTATGGTTTTCTATCAGGTTTTTGGGATGCTTAACAATGTCGACTATGTTGTACTCCTTCAGTACAGTAATCCTTCAGCATTCAAAGGTAATTTATTTTCATTATGCAACACATGTTTGCACAACAAAGTGCATTTAATATGCATCAGGAGTAATGTAAACAGCAGCAACAGAACAATTCTCCGGGCAATATGGCCGACATCTTGAATACATCAAATGTACAGCGATCATAAGCCAAACTGTGTACTAAATATGTCGACCTCTTTGATCTTAGAAAGACATAAAAGTAAACAAATTTACCTGCAACATGCAGGGTGACAGATTTTCAAAAAGGATAATTCAACTTGTTCACAAATATGTTTGAAACAGAAGCCAGCTTTCTCAGCATCATAACGCAACTGCAGTTATGCAACCACTTTCCATTTCAGCACGGCATGTCTCGCTGCCCCAACAACTGGTGTGTGTTGTACTGCTGCAGCACAGGTCAGAGGTCACAGACATGCATCACTCACTGGATGCACAGCACAAACTGGCATATATGACTCAACAAATTATGATTATATATATATCATAAAAAATAAATTCACAATAATAAACTGTGTATATAATAACATGCTGCTGAAACTGTTAAGTTCTTAATACAATAATAAAGTACTGCACATGGATTAAATTCACACAAACAAGCTTTACCGTGTGGTTATTTCATAAAGGGTAATTATTTATTCAATTACCAGAAAACATGCTATATCATGATACCGTCATCAAGATATGAAATGACCGTTAGCAGGATACAAGAACATTTAATGTAGATAGTGTCTGAACTCTATTTGCATTTTGATAACCACTGTTAAGTAGAAACAGCAGTGTTAAATCTGTTTACAAAAAGGAAACTAATATATGAAATCTCAGTATTAATATTTACATCCGACAGGTTCAGGAGTCTTTGTCACAACCATAAGCACAGATCTGTGGTGTGAACACAAACACCATGATGGTAGAAACACTGGTGGTCTTGACCTTCACAGTTAAATATACAACAAACAAAACATTATTTATAGTATACTTCAGAAATCCTGAGCTCTCCATATCAATTCACTAACTACACTAATGTCTGCCCTTCTGGTGGCCATCATCATTTCAAAGAAACACGGTAAAGCAGAAAGAAACCAAAACAAAGTGAAGTCTGCAGGTCAGG